CAGTTTTCTCTCTCCCTCGGTCAGTTGTCCGTCCATCTGTTTGCCCTCCACTTCTCCTCATGTTCCCAGGTTGTTCTTTGTGCTTTCCTCTACTTTTTTATTGTTTTAAGTTGTTTTTTTTACCTTATTTGTTTTAAAGCTCACTTGTTGGCGTCTAAACCTTCTACACACATAACAGAACCTTACCCAATTGATTTTAGTGCATTGTAAAAGTAACTTGATTGGTGGATGTCAGGACTTTTAAATTTATCATTTATGAGCGTCTTGAGGCACCTTGAGGCGACTTTTGTTGTGATTTGGCGCTATATAAATAAAATTGAATTGAATTGAATTGAATGAGAATAGTTACACATACAGTCAAGTGAAAAGAATGTTTTCATAGGGCTCTGTGCAGTCCTGTGAGAAATTCAATACGGCTCGTGATTCAATAGTTTGTAAAACTACCTTAAGCAGCAGCTGGATGATTTTATCTGTCTCACAGATCATTGTGGAGACATTTTGGCCCACTCCTCTTTGCAGCATTATTTGTTTTTGCGCAGCTTAAAGTCCCACTGCAACATTTCAGTCAGGTTAAGATCTAAACTTTGACCGCCTCATTGCAACACCTAATGCTATTCTGTTTTAGATTTACTGCTTCGCTTGGGATCGTTGCCTTATTGCATGACCCAGTTTTGGACAACATTTGGCCTCACATTTGGCGCCAGAATACTTTGATATAAAGAGTAGTTCATGGTTAACTCAATGACCGAAAGGTGCCCAGGTCCTGTGGTTGGAAAACAAGCCCAAATCATCAACCCTCCACCACCATGCTTAACAAGTGTTTGTGTTGATATGCAATGCTTGGTTTGCTCCAAGTGCAGTCCTGTGTGTCTTGGCCAAAAGTCTCTGCTTTGGTCTCATCTGTCCAGCTGACAGTCCTGGGAAGATTGTAGCATTGCATTAACCTCAATGCTCCAGACCAGCAAACTGCCAAAACAGCTACAGAGGTGCCAATGATTAGTTACCAATGTTCATTTGATCAGCAGCACCGAGCTGTTACTTACCCTCTTAATTTCTATGGAAGCACTAATGATGTTTTTCACAGGACTGCATAGAGTCCTATGAAAACATTGTTTTCACATGACTGTATTTATCTGCAAAACATACAAAATAAACTTGCACCTGATTTACAGAGGGTGCAACAAATAATTCAGAAATTAGTAATTAATCCAGCACGTTACCTATATTTTGCAGAGGCCTGATGGTAGTTTGCCTGCATTAATATTTGCATGGGGGATTGAAGCGGTCCATTTACTGT